TGTGGGGTGGCAGGGCAGGTAGGCAGTGAGGGAACCGGTGGTTTGTTCCACTCTGGCATGTCCCAGAAGAGCCCTCTATCCGGGCAGCCCAACACTTGAAATTTTGGTCTTCTGGTGTGGGCTGGAGGGCACTGGCTGTCAGTGGGTATCTACTCATGGAGGGCAGCTTCTTCAGAGGGTCTTGATGGGCTATCCTCTGACCAGGAATAAACCCAGGAACGTGCATGCTGCAAGGATTCCAGGCAGAATCCTCTTTTCAGGAATCTTTATGTATTCTGGCAGCTGTAACCTTTCAATGGGAAAATAAATCAGGAATTCGAATACTTTTTCTAGTGCATCTCCTCTGTAAGACTTGGCCTTAATTATAAACTGAATTACAGCTGTAGGCAATCTTGATACTTCCTTGGGAGCACAGCTCATGAGAGATGTGGCACTCTGCTGGATTTCTTGCTCTGAAAGTTTGCAATTGTTTTGGACAGTCAATAACTTAAAAATTTAAAAAAAAAAAAGTGGTCTTTGTCAAACCATTGAGCAAAAAATTATGCTGCAATACTATTTAACTGATGATTAGCTTTGGTGAGTGAAATGAGAAGATGAACCTTATGCAGTTGAAACAGGAGGGAAAAAAATGAAGAGAAAGTAACTCTCAGTGAAAGATGTTTCTGGCTGCCTTTCAATTCCAAGTTCAGCTAATTCTACCTTCTCAAAAGAAGATAATTTCAACGTTTCTGTAACTGGGAACACGTAATTGAAGTTATTTTCTCCCAGAGAGAAGAAGCTTCTTCTACAATGTTCGCAAATGGACTAGAAAAATGACCACATACAGTGGATTCTGAATGATGGTGCATTCATCACAGCATCGTCTTCAGATGTCTGCAGATTTTGCAGTGCAGTTTTAATCCATACAGGTAAATATTTATGTGGGGATGGGGAAGGTTCTTGTTGGTGAATGCACCACAGTGACTGCAGAGCTCCCTTTTCTGGGCAGCCCTTACAGCTGAGATAGGTCTGGAGTAGAAAACATATGCCAGGGAAGCACTGAAGCAAGTATCAGCTTTGAGTACCAAAATAATTATGCAGCAATTCCACAAAACTGCTTCTTTTGACCTAGCTTTTCAGGAACTGAACTTTAATAAGGAAGATGAGCCAGATGTTGTTGCAGCCTTTTGATAGTGGCACAAGCAATTAGCTCACTTCCTTTGTAGCATGAAGATACTTTCTGCTACAGGACTTAACCCTGGAAGTGCTGGTGTTTTCCTTAATACCCCAACTAAGTATTCAGGACAGTGTTTATTTAGGAAGGCTTTTGCATCTGCACATGCTACTGCAATCCTCTTCTCTTCCTGAGGTTGCTCCTGCAATCTTCTCTTCCCTGAAGTTGCTTGGTGTTTGATGACAGTAGCAAAGGAGGCACTCAGGTGCCTGTGCTTCCAAAGCATAGTCCCTCCTGCCAGCTTCTTGCTGGGCTCTTTTCCATTTTCGTGGGTCAGTTTATCATCCCTGATGCTTCTGTGATTAGCCAGACAGAGTGGTGCTTGGGGTCTGCAAATCAATGCAGTCCCTTTCTTTGAGCTGTGTCTAGCTAAGAAAGTGGATAATTGTGTGCATTAAGGTGTGTGCTTAGAGAAAAGAAAATGCATGAAATTAACTGGTAGATCAGACAGCAAGTTGAATTTCTAGACAGCCTTGATTATTGTGCAGATCAGGAGAAAATAGAGGAAGTTGATTATAAACAACAACACCACAACTCTGTTTTGTAAGGAAAGCCAGAATTGTATTTTTACCCTGACCTAACAAAGGAGGAGGAAGGAAACTGTTTTGCTGAAACAAGTATTTAATGTTGGACTAAGGATGCACTTTCCTCTCTATGTGTGTGTGTGTGCGTGTCCCAGCAAACAGCATGTTCATATGCATGAAATGCATTTTCCTGGAGGCACGTAGTCAACATGTGTCATGGGAGGAGGAAGGAGATGTGCCTAGCACTACTTAAATACTGGTCAAAAAGGCATAGCATTTTAGTCAAAATAAGTCAAAGTGTCTCATAACATTGTGGTTGGTATTTGTTATTTCTGCTGACATTGGGTACTGGATAGGAAATCTTCCTGGTTTGGAAAAGTGCAATGTAGATAAAGTACGAGAGCAGTCTATTTATTGTACGTATGAGCAGTGTGGCCTCCAAAGCCAGAGAGAGTCAGACAAAACTGAAAATCTGCAAATTTTGGTCTTTCATTTTAAAGGGCATAGTCCAAGACCTTATGAATTAGTTATGGAGGGCTCCCCAGCTGAGAGGTGTGGGAAGCCAGCATGGAAAAGAGGGAGAGGCTTCACCCACCTCCTGCCAATGCCTGGCTGTGGTGGCCTGCAGGCGCAGTGGCTTTGGGTTGCAGAGTGTTCAGTGTAGGTCTGCAAGACCAGGTAGAGCCCCAGTGTGTGAGGCTGGAAAGTGTAGGGCCCCCAGCAGCCTGGATGCAGGATTTGTCTTTGCCGTAGAGCCCATGTGTGATACTGGGAAAATTGCTTCAGCTCCATGTGTCTCACTGCCCTTTTCTGTGAACAGACTGTGGCTTGTGCCTTCTGTTTTGGTCCATTTTTATTACAGGGCCCAAGGGTAACAGCAGTGTTTCAAATGATGTGTGGACAGAGCCCAGCAGAAGAGATTGGTGATGGCTAATGGGAAATACAGGGATGAGGGCCATCATCAGCCTCAGACCATGCTGTCTTCTCCATGCAAAGTCTAGGAAATGAGTCTCTGTTGATGGAATAGCAGAGGTCATTCTTTTCTGCATGGAAACTGAAATAGGTACAATACCTGGAATAGAACCTCGAGAAGCTCAGTTGCCAGATTGATTTCTCTAGGTAATAAATCCTTGGCTGCACTTGCTGTGTTAAAATATATGTTCAGGCAAGATTCATGATCAGCTCTTAGGAACAAGAGAGCAAAGGGGAAAAAACAGGTTGTTCCAAGATTCTTACATTTGGCAATTTTAATTGACTTTTTTTTTTTTTTTTTAAGATTATGCTATATATTATTTCCAATGAAGTAGTTGTAGACTAACACTTCTTAAAAAGCCACAAGGCTCTGGTCAAACACCTACTTCTAGAACTTCTAGTCATATGAATGCCCTTATCCACACCAAAATTATGTAATTATGTATCTCGCAGAGATGACACTTACATGACTTAGAAGGCAAATGCAGGTCACCATACTGTCTGCCTCCCGATGTGAAAAGTAAGTTATGGTAACCCAAACACATCAGCATGGCTGCATTTGTACAAAAAAGTTTACTGCTCTTTATGTGGATATTCAGCATTTCCAGATACTCAAGACAACTGCTAGGCAACTAAAATTCCTGGAGAAATGCACAAAATCCTTAAATGTTGTTCAGAAAACAATTTATAAGCAAAAAAAAAAAAAAAGAAAACATCTGTAGGAAAACCTGAATGTATGTTAGGTCCAATCTGTGTTCTCAGTCAGGGAGTCTGAATGTGTGGCAAACAGACCTTGCACAGCCCTTCAGGGAAATTCATCCAGCCTGGGGCTTATTCCAGGTACACTTTTTTCCCTAGGGGATCATGCCCCACCCCTCCCTTGTGAACTGCTGCTACTCTGCTGCAGAGTGGGTTTTGGGCAGGCAGTGGGTGCAGCTGCTGCATTGAGTGTGTGCACAGCAAATCTAGCCCTTCCAGCGAGCACCGGCCCGTGCTGAGGCCAACAAGTTAGAAGGGTGATGGTACAGCTTAGCATGGACCTTAGAAAAGGAATTATGATGGGGTCAGGAGCATGTAGGTATTTTGGGAGTGGGTGATGGAAGTATTATTGCAAAGTGCCATTCTCTGCATTGATTGATGTCTCATTTGAAATCTCCTTCTTGCCTGAAAGAACAAAGCATGGAAGCATATAGTTAATTCTCTTGAAGTACAGTGCTTTAAAGCTGCTGTTCTCTGTTAAACATCACTGGCTCAATAAAGATTCATCATGTCAGATGTAGTCCCTAGAAGTGGTCAATGTATTGTTTCTCCAATGATTTTGTATTTTCTTGCCATCTAAGTAGTTATGGAGTATGGAAAAATGTTTCCTTGTTTCATATTAAAGGTCCTATCCTTGATGTAGGCAGCAATTGATCAATAAAATCACTTGCTTTACTAAAATGATGTGTTTTATAAATAAGTTAGTTTTCATATGCAAGTCTCAAGAAACCAGTGCACACAAGGAGAGCTGGTGTCAGCATTTTTTAATCCTGAAATGACCGAGTTGCTCCTTATGGACACCAAACTTAGCTTCTTCTAAAAAACTTCTAGGCACAACTTCTAGACACTCTTGTGCTTCTCAAAATATACCATATTTATGGTGTTTTCCAGGGAGAAGACTCTCTGAGGCAGGCTGCAAATACTGTATGTAGCTGTTAGCTTATGAAGGCCAAGAGGTTCTATACATGTATTAAAACCTTTGTATCTCTAGTACTAAAAATCTGTGGAGCAGCTCCTGATCTCACTAAAGTTAACAGCAGGATTTGTGTTGAAACAAACAAGAAGAGAACATAACTAGCAGCTTGGGATTATCTGTCTTTGTCCATATACTCTGCCACTGGAGAATTACCATTTATGTTGTGTTGTTAAGCGATGGAAACTTTTACCAAGTCCAAACTTAAATGGTTCCAAAGCCTTTTTCAGTTTTGGAAAACGTTTGTATCAAGCTATTCTTGGAATAATCTTCTGCTTTGTTAATTATTATGTGCTATCCGGTAGACATCTAATTATGAGGCACAGGATACTTCCCATTCTAGGAGGATATATAGTACTTCACTGGATGTTCTTCAGAGTCCATTTTCATTACATTAAGTAAGGTATTTACTTCCTTGAATCCCTTGGGTCTTAAAAAAAAAGAAAAATAAAAAGTTCAACACTGAATGAAGAACAAAGTTCAACACTGAACAGATAATATAGCCACTTACTGTGTGAATGCTTTTATACCACATCACAGGCTGTTCTGTTTTTTTCAGAGTGGATATCCAAGTTCTGGACCTACATCAAGCACTCCTGCCTTCAGGCCTGAGGATGAGCTGGAACATCTGACCAAGAAAATGCTGTATGACATGGAGAATCCTCCGTCCGATGAGTACTTTGGTGAGCCATGTCACAAGTGTTCATGGTCCTCTTCTGTATTTACTGGGTTCAGTAATGGGAGGCCTGACAGCTGCACTGCTAATGTAGTGACACTCGTGTTGATGGATGTGCTTTCCATGCTTGGGCTGGAAGTGTAATCATCCATAGGAATTCCTCTGTAATTTCAGCATAAATCTCACGCTCACTCACTGTATGTTTATAGTCTTACTGGATATAAAGTTGAATTTTTCAGTGTCTGGTTCATTTTCACACCATCTGTCCCCAGCTTCCAGGCTACCAGTCTGAATTCAGGTGCTGTTGCTGTCGTGCCTGCCTGCCCCATCCCTTCTCATTGCAGCTGCAAAAAAATCTGGCAGTGTAAATGTGTTCTGTTTCCAAGGCATGGATTTTCATTTTCTGTGTGCTGGCACAGATTAAAAGGAAATCCATTTTGAGTCAATCAGGTTGGTTATACATGGGCACCCAGAACTGGGTCCAACAAATACAAGTAAGACAAATCTGGACTGATTGGTTCCTAACAGTGTCATCTTCCTAACCTGGAAAAAGATAAGCATCTAATTTCCTTCTTAAGTGGTATAGAGTATAGTTATCTTAGGCATCTATAGGTGTAGAATTATACCTTGCCTTTACATGAAACATAGGTGATAAGACCTCTGAACTCTGCATTGAAATCAAGAGTCTTGGGCACTCAACGATGGGCAGATCGGTGGATCTACCTGTGTGCTTAGTTTCTTACAGGCTTGGGTAATAGTGTTATTATGAAACAAACTGCTGTAGTTTGTAGAGTTAAAGACTGGGGCAGGCCATTCATTTTGTGTTCTTTATCTTCCTTTATTTCAACATTTCTTAAAAAGTCATTTAGATTTCCCCCAGGTCTATTTGCTATAGAGTTTGGTTGGACTGCAACATTTCTGGCTTAAAGAAACTTTTGTGTTGTGGTTTAATCAGAAAGCGGGTGGGACCACAGTTTCACTAACAAACAAGGATCTTGCAGTGGCAAGGATCTGATAATATGAAAAGATTAAGATGTTCTCATCAAACAAACATTGCCCTTGTAGGTGGGGTTAGTATCAGTCCCAATTCTCTGTCAGTACCTTCTACCTTCTGTGGGCTGCGCCCTAACAACCAAAATGTCTTCTCTGTAAATACTGATAGTCATCAGAGTTGATGATTATCACAGATCTGAGGTGAGAGCAGGAATGGCTAAGTGAATAGAAAATACCCAGGGAGCATTTTCTGTATTTCTGCCTTTGACTTCATCTCTGCCCACAGCCATTTGGGTTCATTCTCTGGTGTTTTAAACACAGAGCTACAACGAAATAAACATAACCTGTATTAGCCATTACCTGGGCAGGAAAGAGGGAGAAACTTTTTTCCTGCCCTCTTCAGGCAAATGGCTGAAGCCCTGAAGCATGAGATCTGATTACAGCAATTTTCTTAATGCAGAACTCTGGCAGGAGTTGGTTGATGGACCAAAGCCCATTCAGTTTTCCTTTTCACCCAAGAAGCTAGGCAGATAAACAAAGAAGATTCCCGGGCTGCAAGGTCAGAAAGGACCTTGCCATTATTCTGCCTAATGTCCTACTCTCAGTTTCTCCTAGGAACATGATTGAATCATGACTTGAAAAAAAAAAAATCTAATCTTATCTTTAAAACTTCAAGCAATGGTGAGTCAACCACCTACCCTGATAAGCTGTTCTAGTGATTAATTTTCCTCACAGCTCGAAAATTGCTTCCTGAAGTGAAGCTTTAGTTTTGTTTACCACTTGTATTTATGAAGCTGCAAAGCTCAGATTTTGCAGACTAATATTGTATGACTAAGATTGCTCTGCTCTATTGGAGAGGGTGGTACATCAAAGTTTCTTCATCCAAAAGGGATGCATAGCTGAAAGAGTAGGAACATAAAGATGCTCAGGTCATCAGTTTGGCTATCAGATCAGACCAATGTCATGCCATTAGCTCTTAATTCTGCAGGAGATGAGAAAACGGAAAGGAGGCTTCAGAGCACTCAGAAGTTTTGCCAGTGTTATTTATATAAACAGTAGCATAATCAAAGATGGAATAATCATGCATGATGCATGGTGGAAAAATCAAACAACCACTTTCATCCTACCCTGGGCAGGTCATGTGTAATTACCAACTGCACCTGATTGATCTTCTGATTGCACTGTATGCCACTGAAGTTCATCACTGAGGTGATGTCCATCTCTGGCATTCCTGATGTGCCAAAGAACCATGTGTTGGGCTGAACATCTCTTCAGCTCCCTAAGGATGCTGTGCCCCATGCAGCCTTCTAGGAGCATTTCTATCTAACAAAACACAGAATGCTAGAGCACAACTGCTTTTTATGCTTAGGTAGAGTTGATGCCTAAAGAGGCTGACCTGGAACAGTGGCTAGACGGAGTTAAAGGAATAAGGTAGGTATGTATTAAAAAGTCTTCAAAAGATACACCCTGGGCAATACCAGACCCCGGCTGTGGCTCTGCCCAAGACGGATGACCGGTCAAGAGTTTTCACACTTTTATAAGTTTTGATTCATTTACATATTGGGGTCAATTGTCCAATTATAGCTTCAGGTTATGAAGGTTATGAAGTCTCATCTTCTCAGATTGCTCTCCTCAGTTCACTGTTCTTTATACTTCTTGAGCCTGAAGCTGCAATGGTGTTCTTGGTTCTCAGGCTGGGAAAGGATTGTTTTGTCAAACTAAACTGTGAAGAAAACTTGCTAACACTTTATGTAAAGTTCAGAGTCACACACAAAGGTAGTACAGAATCACAGTGAAAGAGGTAGGCTGCCCTCATCTTCCTAGGTTTGCTGCAGCCCAGGCTCCTCCCTGGGTTTCTGGAGTCTCAGTGGATGAAGCTTTCTGATATGGCAGTGCAGGCCGGGAGTTTTGTACTAATTCTGGCTATGTCAGAACTAAATACTCATCTCTACTTGAGCTGTCAGCCAGTGCCTTTCAGTAACTTCGTGCTCATGTGGAAAGAACAAATTAAGTGTGGGAGGAAAAAAGAGTCTTTCAGCTTTGGTTAACTGTCTCAACCAATATCTCTGCCCGTGTTCTTCAGTTGTTTAGCATGGTAGTGTGGACTGTACAGGATTCATATGGCACACTTATCAAATAATCCAAAAAAGGACAAATGGGCAGAGACATTGACTCTGATTTGCATTAAATATCTTATGCCTGAGGTCTAAATGTCGTGGTAATTGTAGCATACCAGATAGCTGTCAGCTAATCACTTTTATTAGTTTGAATTTAGAAAACTGGATTTCAGCATATTAAAAGTTGGTTAAGAGCAGATAGGTTTTGAATTGAAGAATCTAATTAACCTTGCTAGAAAGCTGCAAAGCGTTATATTAAGTCATGAAAATAATTTGTTGGAATAATTACATTTGAACTGTTAGGCTGGAGAAAGGTCATTTTACTTGGTCTGCCAGCACTCTGGGATCTTCTCTGTAACCAACTTCCTTCTGCAAGTTCATTCACTGTATCTCTGGTTTTCAATCACGCCATCCTGGTTCTGTAGTCAGCAGAATCTGCCCAGCAGTGGGCAGGGTGAAGGTTCCTTGGGAAGGAAGAGCAGTGGTAGTCACTCAAGTTGTCTCTTTGCCCTGGAAATGCTGTCTGGTACTGCTGGCAGACCCAGTGAGCTGAGCTGAGGAGCAGGACAGCCAACACTTCCATCCAGTCTGTCCTTACTGAACCTCTCTGCAGCTTCCCAGGTGGAAACCACTGAAAGTGATTTCAGAGCTGGGGGAAATGTTCTAGGCAGGGATTGCTCACACAAGCACACACAGCTGGCAGTGGGGATCACACTGCCCTCCTGGGGAGCCTGAAAGTGTGGTGGGAGCCAGGAGCAGCATGCTGGAGACACTTGGGAGCAGCAAGATCACAACTGGCAGCTTTGTCTTTCCAGGACTTAGCACAGCAGCACAATCCAGTCGCTGGGAAATCCTCTAGCTGCTATTGGCAAGGCGGTGCTTAAGCATGGAAATATCATTAGGCATAATAATTTTTTTTAAATGCCTGTGAGTTTTTAGGCGTTAAATATGCATGTTGGGCATTGTGCCTAACTGTTGTTAAGACCAAACTGCTATAATAAGTCTAAGCACCCCAATCCTTGGTGTATGTCCCCTCCTACCCCCTTGTAGATTCTGGAGTAACTTGTGGAGTGACTACTCCTGGGAAGTCCTTGGCAGATCAGCAAATTAAAGTCTTTTGTGTCTAAGCTGCTCTTCCTTCTTTACTGATGATTAAGTTGCTGATCTGTGGTAGTTGGCTGTCTTTAATCAAATCCCTTTTTATTAGAAAGGATTCCCAAATGTCATATGCTCTGTGCAGTAGGGATAGTTTCTCTCTATCGCAGTCCTCCCTGTTGATAAATGTGCTATTGTAGACAGGCATGTCTGATTTGTTTGGAAAAAATAATACTTAGTGGAGTGGAAATTGGGTAAGGCTGAAGGAGGAGAAATGGATACTTATAGGAGATTAAAATGAAACTATCAAAATTGTTTGTTGGCCGCCATGGGAAATTACAGCCCTCAATTCTGCATTTTAAAAAACCCAACCAAATACACACACACAGAAAGATCACAACTGTTCTGGACCACTGTTTCAAGTCTTATAGAAAGAAATTACTTCTGGCAGCTTATCAGTCTCTATCACCATGCAGACAGTGCTGATTAAGACTGGAAAAGTGCCATTGGGGCCCCTCATCTCCTGTTGCCTTCTGGACTATGTCCCAGCTGAGTCACTCCCCACAGCAGTTTCCCTGACTGGTGGGAAGAAACTCTCACTGGTATTTTACCATAAATGCTCAGAGCTACCAAAGGAACCACCAGTTTCATGTATTGGATAAGGTAGCAGTCTCCTTCTGTAGTTCCAGCATGCTGTAGGGATGCATGGGGAGAAGAGAGATGCCAAAATCATCCTGTGGGAAATACGCAGTTTGTGCAGTAAAGGAATTACGTTTTAAATTTGAGCTGATAATTCAGGAGA